GCATGTTCTCCCTGCCTTGGCGTGGGTTTCCTCCGGGTGCTCCGGTTTCCCCCACAGTCCAAACACATGCGGTACAGGTGAATTGGGTAGGCCAAATTGTCCGTAGTGTATGAGTGTGTGTGTGAATGTGTGTGGATGTTTCCCAGAGATGGGTTGCGGCTGGAAGGGTATCCACTGCGTAAAAACTTGCTGGATAAGTTGGCGGTTCATTCCGCTGTGGCGACCCCGGATTAATAAAGGGACTAAGCCGACAAGAAAATGAATGAATGATTAAAACAGATTAATGTTTAGTGGCAGTAACTATTCAATAATATCAGCTGCATTAACCAAATCAGTATTGTGAATCGAATTAATTTAATATAATTTTATGTGCTTGTAGATCAGAATCAAACACAGTTTCATCATGATTTCCTGAAGACAACCCTTTAAATGTCCTTCAGTGTGACATTATAGCAAAAAAACCCACTTAATTAAAAAAAAGGTTTTACTTTATACATACACACACCACCAGCCACTATATTAGGTACACCTTACTAGTACCGGTTTAGACCCCTTTTTGCCTTCAGAACTGCCTTAATCCTTCATGGCAGAGATTCAACAAGCTACTGGAAATATTCCTCAGAGATTTTGCTCCATATTGTCATGACAGCATCACACAGTTGCTGCAGATTTGTCGGCTGCACATCCATGATGCCAATCTCCCGTTCCACCACATCCCAAAGCTGCTCTATTGGATTGAGCTCTGGTGACTGTGGAGGCCATTTGAGTAAAGTGAACTGATTGTCGTGTTCAAGACACCAGTCTGAGATGATTGAGCTTTATGACATGCTGTGTTATCCTGCTGGAAGTAGCCATCAGAAGATGGAGACACTTTGCTCATAAAGGGATGGACATGGTCAGCAACAATACTCGGGTAGGCTGTGGCGTTGACACGATGCTCAATTGGTACTAATGAGCCCAAAGTGTGCCAAGGAAATCTCCCCCACACCATCACCAGCCTAACCCTTTGATACAAGGCAGGATGGATCCCTGCTTTCATGTTGATGATGCCAAATTCTGAGCCGAGCATCCGAATGTGTCAGCAGAAATGGAGACTCATCAGAGCAGCAACGTTTCTCCAATCTTCTATTGTCCAGTTTTGGTGAGTCTGTGTGAATTGTAGCCTCAGTTTCCTGTTCTTAGCTGACAGGAGCCGCACCCGGTGTGCTCTTCTGCTGCTGTAGCCCATCCGTCTCAAGGTTGGACATGTTACATGTTGCCTTTCTATCAGCTGGAGCCAGTCTGGCCATTCTCCTCTGACCTCTGACATCAACTAATAAATTGCGCCCACAGAACTGCCGCTCACTGGATATTTCCTCTTTGTCGAAGCATTCTCTGTAAAGCCTAGAGATGGTTGTGCGTGAAAATCCCAGTAGATCAGCAGTTTCTGAAACACTCAGACCAGCCCGTCTGGCACCAACAACCATGCAATATTCAAAGTCACTTATATCCCCTTTCTTCCCCATTCTGATGCTCGCTTTGAACTGCAGCAGATTGTCTTGCCCATGTCTACATGCCTAAATGCACTCAGTTGCTGCCATGTGATTTTTAGATTTCTACAAAAAGTATATAAATAATTGCTAGAGACATTTAATGATGTATTAGTAACTAATAAAATAAATAAAAAGCATAGTGAATTTATGAAGTGTGCCTACTACAGATGAGGGGACTTGACAAACCACCTGTAGAAGCACTCTTCTGTATAATAAAACAGCCCCCTCTATTTACTCTAGCAGTGAATTCTCTGAGCACAGTTTCTTTGTATGATTAGCACTTTTGGTATGTATTGACTCTTGTTGAATCGCTGAATGCCTCCTCAATAGTAAGTCGCTTTGGATAAAAGCATCTGCTAAATGACTAAATGTAAATGTAGTGCATGATATTAATTTAAATGTGAACCCTTTTTAAATACGGTAGGTACTGTAGGTCATGAGCGAACAAGCTGTGTTCTTCTTTACACCCACAGAGCTGTAGGGTTTCCAACATCTCAATTTCTAAGAAGCAAACGCCCACATCCTCTTGGATTCATTCTTGTCACTGTCAGCATGTTCCTCAAACCCACCTAAGCTTCACAGGATGCAAATTAAACACGTCTCCTTAATCAACACCCTTCAA